TTTTTTCTTTGAGCTGTATGCATAGTATATATTGTGGTAATGTATATTCAAATTACATCGATTAAAGTGATTCTAATAGTCATCTTGAAAAAATATTACCGCATCAAATCTAGGAAAACAATACATTTTAATTTGTGGACTACTATTAACATTATTGTTAAAAAACAAATCTGGTGATGAAGTGGATTATATTTGTAATAACATTATTATTGGATACGAAAAATAAAATATAAGCACCAGGACGAATCATAGAGGACATAACGACACATTTTATGTTACGATACCGGGCTTTCAACGGCTGTAAGCAATAAGACTAGCTGTGTCATACACGGACGAATAGATGGCGATTGGTCGAATAACTGCAATTTTTTTTACTGTGTCGTATTTGCTGTGACGTAAAGATGTGTATCATTCAAAGTATTATAATAATTCAAATTATTCAATAACTCCTCCGACCAATGAACAAACGCATTTAATACTTACATCACGTTCATTGTAGCAATTATTGAGACCAAAATAGTAACACTCGGTGTAGATATAATCCTCACTCACAGCTACTGCCGAGACTGGTATTAACACAAGTCCACATACTGCAGCGGCGATGATCGACAGGATCATGGAGGTGATTATCTGCAGTCCGGAATTAAATGACGTCATTTATATATTTACATAACATATATCAGATAGAAATGTTAAAGAGATTGGTTTTAAATGGTTTGTCTGGACTTACCCATCTTCTGGAGGTACGCGCGGCTGACACGTACACCATGCAACCCGTAACGATGAACTGAAAAAAGAATAATAACACGTCACAACCTGCTGTAAACCCAGCACCGTGGCGGTCGATTGACGATTGACATATCAATATATATTCCAGATACCTAACACACGTGTTCGTGATATGTAGTTTATAGTTATGCAATGATCACGGAGTTCAATTGTACCCGGGACAAATAAAAGCTGTGCGATATGTCTGTGTATTGTTCAGTTCAGTTCAGTGTTGTGCACGTAAGAACCAAATGGGCCGCGACCTGTGTGGCGAGTGCGGACGGAATGTGAACGGAACCGCCCATCATCTACGACCCCCCCCCCCCTGAGCGTAGGCAGTTAATATGAAAAAAAATAATCATGGTCTTACATAAACTCCACACCAAATTCCCGTTCCGAGGAACGCTAGGCTGCACCTTATAATAGCAGCGGTGATTCCAAAAATGATGGCTAAAACCCCCATGGAAGCCTGTGTAATACCAAACCCAGCAGCAGACTTTCGATGGCCCGACCGTACGCGGCGATAAGTCTCAGTCTGTACTGGCTGCTGTACCATGACAGTCGACGACATGGTGTATATTACCTGCAATACAAAACGAATGCAAAATAGTATAAAAATAGAATCACGATTAATGCATAAAATGGTTGCCATGTTTAATACTGAATTTGGGTATGGATAAATAATTATGTAAAGCTGATGATTATCGATTGATTGATTAGCACTTATATTATAGTATAGTGTATATTAAAGCACTAAAACAACTCTGCGTGTCTGGTTTCCCATTTTTCTAATTTTTCGAATTACATTATATTTACAAAATAATATAACGTTTCTATATATCAATCATCGTGACATTCGCGTGCAGCATGTATCAATAATTACCTCCTCCCCCAAACGCGACAGATTATCACTGCACACTCACAAGTCCACACACATAATGCCCCAATGTAACGTCGTGGATCAACACAAGACATAACTTACACGAGCCCTATCAGTCAGTTTTAATATCACAAACGATTTTCCTGATAAATAAAATTATAAAGACTTACTATAATCGTCAATATATGATGCGCAATGCTTTTAAGCGGTAGCTATAAATAATCTTCAGTGTTATTATTACACAAATGTGCAGCTAGTTATCAATTACGCATATGCAAATATGTGTTTGATAGATGTACAACTGTAAGTATAAGCATGCGTGCCCGCATATTCACAGTAGACTGTGGTTGGCATATCAAGAGATCACGGACAATAAATTGCGCCCTCTAGCGACAAAGCGCTTCTGAGAGAGTGTGTAATTTTTGAGTCGGAACACTGTGCACCACATGGCACATAAAGTTTATCTGTCTTTTCCAGCCTTTTTTCTGCGTTTTATTACAAATCGTCTTCTCGTTGAATAGACTTAGCCTCATATTTAGGATACAAAAACTGTAACTAAAGTGTTTTATAATGACGCAATCAGGTCTAGGAGAAAGTCAAAAAAGAAAGAGCGAATACTCCGGGGGTTTACTCATATCGTTTATAAACACATCACTCGTTAATACTGTACTGTAATTGGTCAAAACAGGATCACGTGTTATCGACTAAATTACCATAGTAGCGCCAGGGAAATTACTAGTTTCCTAGGAAGAATAGTCCATCAACTAGTGCCTTCTTCAGTTCAGAAGAAGAACTTGACACACTAGTAGAAAATAAAGATACACCGAAGACGAAAGACGCAATCAGGTTTTCTAGAAGCGTCTTTACATCGTTTTGTGAATAAATCGGGACACCGCTGACAGACGTCGAGAAGAAGACGGCGGACGATCTATGCACGTTCCTAATATGAACGTGTAATGTGTTATAAAACACAATATGTGCTTACTAGTGCATCGCAGATTGGTATTTCTAACAGTGGAGTGAAGAACTTGAATTATGTAATCAATAACCGACATACCTATACTTTTGATAGCTGTAGAATTACTGTGATCAATATTCTTCGCCTATGTAAATCTTTTTACTGGGGGCAATAAAGTTATTATTATCGTATTTTCGGAACGCAAAGTGTACGTTCTTGCATAAAACGCAGAAATTGTAACCATGCTGACTAGTCTTAGAATCGATCACCTGTCATCCAACATATCAACACTCAAATTCACTGACCGAGCATTAAAATCACCGCATATAATGCCCGTATCGATGACATCCATCACATAAAGCTGGTAAATAACGTGTATAATATATTACCGGTAGCATCTCTTTCCAAAGGTGAATTCTCAAGTGGTAAATATGAACAAATTAGAAGTGTAAACCAAGTCAATTTGTCTTCAAATCA